GTAAATCACAAGTGGCAGTAGCTGGTCTTGGTGAGCAGGAGCTTGCACAGGCAGGCTGGCATGAGCAAGGAGAGAGGGAAGAAGCTCATGGATAGAAGATTTCAGTGGAGCAGAGCCTGCTCCAAACTTTCCCCACATTTCTGCACCAACTTTCCATCCACTATTTTACTGCAGAACAGGCTCTGAGGGGGATCAGTTTGGTTGGCTATGCACATGGACCTTAAGGTGGGACTTACCTGGAGAAGAGTCTTACTCTTGTCCTTGCAGGCACTTCTAAGTGTCTGAAAACTTCTGTCATCTTTTGAAACATCTGAAGGACATTTTAATACAGTTCCTTTAGTTTGGTGACAGGGCACCTGGGACTAAGGGACTAAATAGGCTTTACTTGGATAGGGAGAAGGAAACAAAGGCAGAAAGTGGAAATATTTGAAGAAGTTCCTGCATCTTGGGAAGCTTTCCTGTCTCTCCAGGCAGCTTGGTTTTGGCTGTAGCTGCATTCTTATATCTGGGGATGTCTCCCTGTGCTTTTCTAACCTATGATTAAATGAAAGGCAGAGACTAAGGGGACAGGTTTTGATATTGTTTGTGCCAGGGTAAAGACCAGGAGATGTGTTAATAACTTCCCAAAAACTTTTAAAAGGGTTTTATCTTTAAATCAGTTGCTGAAATAGCACCTTCTGACTGTACATTTATGGTACAATCTGGGATTGTCCCAAGACAGTTGTTTATAGTGTGTGCTGCTTTGGCACTTACATGCAGAAGGATTTCTCCTTAGGATGTGGACATTGGCTATTTTCCTGTACTCTTCAGTAGAGCCAATGCTCTCTGCAGCTGCATTTTTAATTAATGTTGGGCTTGAACAAAGGTAGAGACTGCTGGTATCTCCTGTGTCCAGCTGCTGCTCTGAGTCAGGGGTTGGTTTAGTGATATTAACCAACTGCTTTTGCTTTTAACCAGGTAATGATGATTCTGACATCGACATTCCGGAGGATGAAGGATCTGACAGTGAACTGGAAGGGCAGATCATGAAGCAGCACACCAGCACAGAAGCTCTGCTGCAAGGTATCCTAACCCACCCTTCCTTGCCTTTATTCAGAAGGATATGCTGGAATTACCTGAGCCACTTCAGATGTGAGAAGACCCTGTTGGAGTTCAGGACGTTGGCACCACTCAGTTCTCAGGAGCTGGAGGAGGATAAAGCCTTGTGGAGAAAACAGTGGGTTTGGAGGAGCAAATTAAGGATTATTTACTGGGGAAAAAAATCACTGTGTGAGAAAAAACCTGCCTTGGTATTATCTTAGAGATTATTGAAGTAGCTTCATACAAAGCCTCAGGAAAGCAATGCCATTTCTCATTGCAAAGCATTTATTTCCCTTTAGCTGTTGGCACTTGTTCTGGCAGAGTCTTTTTCAAAAGGAGACCTTCAGTGAGTCCATAAAGCTGCCTGCACTGATATGGGCACGGGGGTAACACACCTGAGCTGCTGCTTTCAGGGAGGGATGTCTGGCTTCTATCCTAGCTCATGTGGAGTGGAATTGCAGCCTCTGGTGCTGATCCCACTGGAGCCCTGCTCAGAAGAGTTACAGGTCCTGGTCTTAGAGGAATTACTGGTCTGTGTTTCACTGATGTGGGAAAAGAATTGCTCTGCTTAGTCTGGAGTCAAGCAAAATGCACCCAGGAAATCAGGTTAGTGCTCTGTGTTAGCAGTGAAGGATCCTGAACTGCCAGCCAAAGCCTCTCTGGGGTCTGTAGGAAGTGCCTGTGTAGGGAATTTCATGTGCCACCACTTCTGCTGGAACCTGTTCCTTAGATAAACTGCAAATATGTGGAGTTTTTCTGAGTGGAATTCTCTCCCCTCTATGAGACCAGAGGAAGAAGCTGACACTCTCAAGTCAATGTAATTCCAGCATTTTTATCCTCCTTTCCACTGTTTTTCATAAAAATAGAGAAATCTTGATAAGTGCTAGAAACACTGATATTCCCTAAGGATTTTTACATTGCCATTTCTCAGGGAAAGGTTTGTACACGGATTTTAGAGCTTTGGAAGTGACTGTGTAACTGTCTGTAACTTCAGTTCAGAGGGCACCATACCCTGGCAATGTCAGCCATCTCTTAATACCAGTTTTAAGAGTAAAAAGCTTTATTACAAAAGTTGGCGATTTTTTGACAAGTAGAATTTTTTCTAGGAAGAGCTTTGTTATCATTAATTACACTTAATGGAGACTCAAAATGAGCTTGTCAGACTTAAGCAGTTCAAATCTATGAGATGTTTTCTCTGCTGTGCTGTTTAGATTGATTTCTGTGCTCCTCTGGGTCTCCTTCTGGTGTTTAGTAAACTACTACTGGCAGATAATTATCCTCTTGACTTGCTGTTGCTCTCTACAAGTCCCTGACAGGAGAGTGGAGCCAGGTGGGGGTCAGGCTCTTCTCCCAGGGAACAAGGGACAGGACCAGAAGAAGCACCAGTGCAAAGTCTTGCCCTGGGAATGCAGAACCTGCTGTGCTGAATCAGGTAGAGGGTCCATCCAGCCTGATCTTCTCTCCCCACCACTGTCTGAAAGAAAATGTCTAGGGAAGAGTGTAGGAACTTCCCTCAGGTTCCCTCCTGCTCTCAATCTGTTTCAACCTCCATGAGTATTTCCTGAGCCAGATGTGGCTTCCACAAATTTAATCTAACCCTCAGCAGATTTATTTTCTCCTAAGAACCTGTCCAGTCTCCCCTTGAACTAACTGGATTTTTGTCATCAATACTATCAGAAGTGGCAGATTTTGAAGTGATGTTGTGATTATGTGTGCAGACCCATCTTTGCAGCCTCTTGGACCAGTCTGAAATGCATTTTGGCATCATGAGGATCTCTCCCCTTCCCAGTGGCAGCAGTGCCAGACTGGGACACACAAGCTGGCACACAGGGCAGTGCTACAGAATGAAGCTGGAATAGTGTGCCCTTGCAGATCTGTGGAACTGTGCCTGTCTGTAGTAAATCACCCTCTATTCCACACTGCCAGGGTCCTTCAGCTCCTGTAAACCAATTATCTGAATGCTTCAGCTCTTGTTTACTTTTATAATGTTGGTGTTAAGGGGAATTTTTGTCCCGTCCAGACCACAGAGACCATTTCACCACTGAGACAGGAACAACTTCAGCCTTTTTTGTGTCTTTACTGTAAGAAGACAGCTTTGCTAAACTCTATTTTTCAGCAGACAATCAGTCCAAAGCCACACAGTGAGAGCAGCTCTCTTGCAGCCTCTTGCTTTGGCAGCCCTGACCCAGGGAATCAGTGTGATGATGATGTGCTGAGGAGCTGGGCAGTGAGGGCACTGAATGCCTGTGGTACCCTGGATGCTGGGGGAAGGCTGCAGAGGCTGAATTACCCCTCTTTTTTTTTTTTAAATCCTCTAGGGAAGATGGAAGCTTTGACATAGAAGTCTTCTCAGGTGAGCCTACACAGCCCTGTTTCCAAGCCCCTCCTGCTGAAAAGCAGGAAAGTCCTGCTCTCAGTGGAAATTGTCAGGCTCCACTTGTGCAAATTCTTTCTCCAGCTTGTGGCCGTGTTCACATTTCTGCCACAGAATTTCTAGACTGTTTTCCTTCCCTTTTAACTCCCCTAGGTGTGTAGAAACCACAGAGGTGTGAGATTGATACACAGGAGAGTGGAGGGATTCAATTGGGAATGTGCAACAGCTGCCTGCTTCTTGATGGATATCTTGTTCACATTGAGTTCCTGTGGCTGTCACCTGCCTAATTTTTAAAGCCACATGTTAAATAATAGTCTATTTTCTCCTTCCCTCTGGTTCCTAAAGGAAGTTACACCTCTGAGCCCAAGACCAAGAGACATATGCAAGTACATTTATCTTTACAAATACAGGGTGGCAACAAATCTGCAGGTTTTCTCAAAATGTTGCGTTCCTCTCTGTTGTGGAAATGAGTGTTTATTTTAAAAAAAAATAATCTGAAGCCCACTGCAGCTGTGTGGGCATCACTCAGATGCTGTGTGATCCCATCCCTGATCTCTCAGATTCATCACAGGGACAGCTGCCTCTCACCAGCACACAGCTGAGTGCAGGATGTTGTCTCCCTTCCAAAGTCTTTCCCCCCAACAGTCTATTCAGAAACCCTTGAGAAACAGCCATCAGGTTCTGCCCACTGCTGCAGAGTGCCTGGAGCTTGTGTTTTTGAAAAAGAACAGAAGAAAATGTCTTGTTCAGAGTCATGCCACACTGAAGTGCCCCCCGGCAGGATTTGCCAAGGGTGCTGCACATGTAAACGTCTGCCACAGACTCAGGTGTCCTCCTGGTGTCCCAGCAGGGCCAGCATGGCAAGGCCTGAGTCTTAAAAACATCAGGAATCTGCAGTGGGGCTTGCAGGTGCTTTTTCAGAGGCCAAATTAGGTTTGGGTATCCTCACAGAAGGGAGAGCTTTAGACCCCGCCTGGCACCAGGTGGGCAGAGGTGAGTCAGGAACAGCAGCTGTGAGACAGGCTCTACTGGGCACTGAATTCTTACCTTTCCAGTCCACCAGGGATTTGGGAATGTTGTTTGTAACCCCAGAGCTTCTCTGAAAATCCCTGCCTGGTTTCTTGGCAGTTATCAAAAAGTACAGAGCAACAACAAAATCTCCTCTGCCCTGGCCAGCCCCTCTCTTCCTGATGGCTCCTGAGGAGCCCTGGTGTTTGCAGGCATCTCCTGGCACGTGTTTGCCTTAATCCAGAGTCTGGGGAAGTGAGGTGAAAGGGTCTGGCTTTCACACACTCCGTGGTGGTGGCAGAGGGAGAAGGCTGAGGCACAGGGAGTGGGTCTGGCCATGCATTGGCAGGGTTCAGGTTCTCCAGCTGTTTGAAGGTGATATATGAAATCAAGGGGAAAAATTGCAAAAGTGCACCTGCTCAGAACACCTCAGAGGACTCCACCAAACTGATCCTGCTTTTAGAACTTTAAAATAAATTCCTTCCTTGTGAACTTCCTCAAGGGCAATTTTACTCTGACTGGGGCTTTGTGCACATGGCATGTGTGGGTTCTTGTGGCTGTGCTCCTGGAGGGAATATACTTTTCTGGTAAACCAAACCAAGTCCTAATTGTAAACCTTATAAAAACATTTTGGGCAGTCAGATTAGTCTCTTATTCCTTGCCTCTTCAGGTCAAATGGGAGAGAAAAAGTGTTTGAGCCACAGATCTGATTGTCAGTGCTCTGAGGAAACCAACCCAGAAGGCTGGTGCAGCTGCACTTATTTTCCTGTATTTCTGTGTGGATCTCTGCAGATTCCTGTCCCCCAGATAAGAGTCTTTGCAGACTTTAGTTCCCTGATATGGCAGCTGTTGGGCAATATTACTAGGCTCATGTAGCTGGGGAAAGGGGGCAGTCAGGTGTGTTTGGGAACACTGAAAAGGGGCCGTGTTTGGAATTCGGAGAAATTAATTTGTCTTAAATTGAACTTTTTTCCTCCTCCTTGGCATCTGCTCCCTGCAGAGGTGTCGTTGGCTGTAGGTTTTGTGTCAGGAGGTGCTTCCTGGAGGAAGGAGGTGTTGCTGTGCACTGTCAGCCAGGCCATCATGACACTGGACCTGGTGGAGAAGGAGGAGGGAGGGGCTGTAGCTCTTAAATGGTGGGAGACAGGTCCCTCACTTCCAAGTGGATTTCCTTTCCATGGAGGTGTAAGAAATAAGGTAAAGTGTGCTCCCCTGGGCAGCACCACAGCTCCCCTGTGGTGAGCTTAAAGAGCCCCTGTATTTTGGCAGTGCCTGGAAGATGTTGCTGAGATCAGAGCCTTGTGATAAGGGAGGGGATTGTCCTGCTCTGCTCTGCCCCGAAGTGCCCTCACCTCAGCTCCTGGGGCTGTTCTGGACACCATCATGAAGGATCTAAAGGTGTTGGAGAGTGTCCAAGGGAGGGACACAAGGATGGGGAAGGATCTGAGAAGTGGCTCAGGGCTCTTGGTCTGTTCAGTCTGGAGAAGAGAAGACTGAGGTCAGACCTCAACAGCGTCTGCAGCTTCCTCACGGGGGCAGTGGAGGGGCAGCTCCGAGCTGTGAGCAGTGACAGGACCCAGGGAATGGCTGGAGCTGTGCCAGGGCAGGGTCAGGTTGGGTTCTTCCCAGAGGGTGGTTGGGCACTGACCAGGCTCCCCAGGGCAGTGGGCACAGCACCAAGGCTGCCAGAGCTCCAGGAGGGTTTGGACAATGCTCTCAGGGCCAGGGTGGGATTGTTGGGGTGTCCTGGGCAGGGAGTTGAACTCAATGATCCTTGTGGGTCCCTTTCAGCTCAGGGCATTCCGTGATTCTGTGATTAAGAACACAGTGCCCAAAGCACACACAGATTAGAAAGTTCAGGCCAGAGGTTTATCCCAGTTTTCTCGGTGTGGAAGGGGATGTGCTGTGGAGGGAGGTGTCTTCTCCAAGCTCCTGCTGTGAATTTGCATGAAGCTCTGGCCTTTCAGATCTGCAGACTGAGAGCAAAATGTTTCAGCTGCAAATCCACCCTCCCCTCCCCATGGGCTGGCTGGACCCCACAGGGTTAATGTGTACCCACTGCCCAGTGAGAAGCTGGAAATCATTCCAGTCCTGTGGCTGCATTGTAGGAAGCTGCACAGGCTGGTGCAATGGCATATATCACACAGAGGGAAAAGGGCAAATGCTCACAGGCTTCAAATCATGGATGCTTGGTGGCTGTGAACTGTGGTGCTGCCTGGAGATTAGATTTGACTCCGAAGCTGCAGTGAATTACAGTCTGGTCGTTACGAGCATGTTTCCTAATTATCCCTTGGTGCAGCCTGTCCTGGCTGGAGCCACATTATGTGTGAGCAAACACAACAGGCTCCCACCCCCCTGGGAGCTGCAGGAGCTCCCGTGGCCGGAGTGACACGGCTCTGAGGGCGCTGGGAGCCCAGCCCAGCCAAGCTGAACCCAGGAAATCAAGTGGCAGCTTCCCCAGCCCTCCCTGCCCCCTGCACGGGACTCCTCTCTTTCCTGCCTCTCCTCCAGCACACATGGAAATTCCGTGGCCATCTGCCTGTCTGTGCTCCCACAAACTTGGGGGTTTGTGATGTGAAAGTTAAAATAGCGTGGAAAATCTGCTTGCTGTCCTCTTCACAGCTGGGTGCACAGGGGAAGCCCCAGCCCCTCTGCATCCTGCAGTCTCTCCTAGGAGTGTCCCAGGGTTGTACTCCAGCCCTTCTGCATCCTGGGGTCTCTTCTGGGAGAGTCCCAGGGTTGTGCCTGCAGGATCTAATCCTGCCAGTCCCACAGTCCCTGGTTCAGAGAGGTGCTCCTGGCTTAAACAATGGAGGGATCCAAGTCTGGGCAGCACCTGATTCTCCTGTTCCTCCAGGTGTAAGGAGTTAGATGCACACAGGATGTCCTGGAAGAGCAGCATCCTCCAGACCTGTGAGGAATCTCTGAGCTCTTCCCATGGCATTTGGAATTGTCCTATTCCATCAACTCTCCTTATGTGATATCTTGATTTTCTTTTATGTTCGGGATCTCTCTCAGCTTTGTCTTATTTTAGGAGCTCCCTGCAGCTTTCTCCTTTTGAGGCAATAATTCCCAATTTTACACTTCATGCTGAGCCTTCTACAGAGCAGAATTTCAGTTTTGCAACTCTCAGAGCCGTCTGTAGGCTGGGCAAAAAGAGGATTCTGTTGTTGTCTAATGATGTGAGTTGTAATCAGCTTCAAATTTATATGGTTTAGTCTTGCATAAATTAGAGCAAAAATCTCCAAAAAGCTTGAAGGCAGATCTTCTGTCTGGAAATCTTACAGTTCCATCTCCCCTGTCCAGTCAGTAGAGGACACTGCTTTTTATCTAAAGACATAAAATCCTTTAAATTATCTACCTTGATGCAACAAAGGTTTTTTGGTGAGTTGTGGATGAGTTAGGCAGCTTTTTCCTGCCACTAACTCAGATCAATCTGCGTGGGACAGAAGGGACCTGTCATCTTTTGTGCCTTGGGAGGTACAAAAGAGGTTGGCCAGGATATATTTTAAAGCTGCTTTGTTTTCATGCTAAAAACAGTAAGGATTAGATTGTCTAGATTGGAACATAGAGGAAGCTGGTGATGGCAGATGGTGAAATGGGATGGTCACAGCACGGCTGTAAATAGGATCTGGTCAGTGTTGAGGGCATCCTGGGGGCTGCAGGAGCAGGGCTGAATCACCCAGGCATCCCACACACAGCATTTCCCCTTTCCCAACACCTTCCAGGCTCCCTTCCTAGCAAAGGAGACCTTGGTAGCATCTTCCCCATTTCCTATGGCCTCTGCATTGCCAAAAACAGCAAAGCACAAGTGTGGTCTCCCTTTTCAGTGAGCTCCCTGCAACCCTGAGATCTCCACCTCCCCCTTCAGACTTACACATCAAACTCTCAACAGGAAATTCTTGAGGTTTGCCTTGGCACTGCCAGGAATTCCTGTGAAATGTCAGTCAGTCCCTCCTGGAATATCAGAAAGGATCTGAGCTTTCTAAAGGACAGGAGGCTTATCACATGCAAAAAACCAGGCTTTTGTTCTCTGTATACCAAAGCAGAGGAAGGAATATGTCAATTCACATATTTTTGGGGAAGGGACCTCTCCAGATCATGGAGTCCAATCCCTCTGCTCAAACAGGAGGTTTGAGCTGGTTTTCCAGGACCACACCCAGTTGGGTTTTGAATATCTCCATGAATAACTCCACAACTTCTCTAGGCAACTTTGTCTCCATGTTTGACCACCCTCACAGTAAAACAAAAGTGATTTCTTTTGTTCAGACAGAATTTCCTGTTTCTTAATGTGTCTCTCACCTCTTGTCCTGTCAGAACTGTTATAAGGTAGCTCTGGAATTATCATCCTGACTGGAATTACTGTCAGACATATCCTCTTCTACCATCTCCTGAGCTCTGAAGGCTTAACAAGGGGGGACCTCACGTGCACTGGGATCTCATCCTCTCACTGCTGTTTGACTTGTCCTTAAAATGTAAACTCTGAGCTTTGTCCTTCCTTCTGCCTCCCTGTAACCATGAGCCAGGCTTTATGGTGACTCTCTTTGCTCTTGCAGGAAGAGCTGGCACACGGATCGTGGGAACAATGCAAGGTGGAGACACGGAGGAAGATGTGAGTAACCATCCCATGTGTCTGTAGAGCTTCCCTGACAGTGCTTTAGAGTGCCAGCCCTCTCCTCAGCTAGAGAAACACCTTTTATCTACTGCATCCTCGTGCCCCAGGCATGCTTTTCCCCTCCTTTCCTTTAACTGTGCTCTCTCATCAGCATAGACACAGATTCCCTGTTTTTCCTTTGCTCCTGTGTGCTCTGTGTGCTTTCACCTTGTCCTGCAGTGCACAACTCGTGGCACACAGGCTGCAGGAATGCTGTTTTGGTGAGCTGTGGGGGCAGAGTGCTAGCAAGAGGGATCAGTGCAGAGCAGCAGGGGTTAGGTACATAGACATAAATCCCCTTTTGTTGCTCTAAAAACACATGCCTGGGACCCTCTCCGTGGCCTGTAGTGGCAGCATCAGTCATCAGTCACCCAGATGATGGGACAGGGATGAGAGCAGGACTGTGAGCTTTATCCCTTGGGATTCCTGCTGTCCCAGGGCTCCTGGCTTTGCATCTGGTTGTGGTTTACGTGGTGAGCGGGCAGAGTCTAAAAGGCACACACAGGTTTGTACAGGAGGCACTAGTTCTGTGTCTGTGCCCAGCCCTTGGCATCCGTGGACAACTTCTCTGTGCCTCTGGGCACACCTGAGTGGCTACATCTGCACTAGGCAGCTGAAGCCAGCTGCTGTGGTGTGATTTGCATCCATACAGGAAGCTCTTTCCATCTTCCCAAAAACCTGCTGGCATCCTGGGAGCAGTGGGGCTGTCCTGTTCTCCTCATGGTGGTGGAATATTGTTTTGAAGAGTGCTAGTTGGCACAGGCCAAAACTGTGCTAGAAGACAGTACAGCTATGATGATTGTGGCCTTGTGTTTGAACCTGTGCTGCTGTTAATTCCTGGTGTGGATGGAGCCTTCCTGTCTCCCTGTCCAGCAGATACCCCTGCAGTGCTGCCTGGCTCGAGGAGGGCAGTTCAGACATCTCTTTGAATCCCAGAATGGTTTGGGTTAAAAGGGACCTTAAAGCTCATCTCATTCCACCCCCTGCCATGGGCAGGGACACCTTCCACTAGCCCAGGTTGCTCCAAGCCCTGTCCAGCCTGGCCTGGGACACTTGCAGGGATGGGGCAGCCACAGCTTCCTTGGACACCCTCACCTTGTCTCTGGAGAGTAACTTGCAGCCCCTGCTCTGCTCTTTGCTCCTGCAAGACTGGGTGTGGTCAAGGCTGTTGTTGCCTCCTGGGGAATGATTTATGCCCTTGGCATTCTGACCTGTTTCTGGGAGGGTCAGGAATGCCTGTGCTGTGTGTAAAGATGTCACCTTATTGTCCTTGACCATGTTCATGACAGATTTGGATAGTCATCCTGTGTTGCTTCTCTTCCCTTTAGACTTTCCTGTTCACAGCTTTCTCCCTGTTGGCACAGCTCCATTGTATCCAGGTGTGGAAAGCCAAGGCCTTCAGCCTCCAATTGCCCTCAGCTGGAGCCCCTCAGCTGCGATTGTCTCATGGCTCTGCTCTTGGAATCATCCTCTCAGGAGGCCCAGGGGCTGAGAGGCTCACTCAGGAACCCTCACAGGCTTCTGTGTGTCCAAGATGAGGGAAGGAAACTAATGAGGCTGGTTTGAACCCCTCAAGGAGTTCATGGAGTTAGGCAGTTGGGAAGAGAGCAGGCTTCAGCCTGCCCCAGAGCCTCTGTCCCTTGCTGGTGTGGTGCATGATGCCAGAGCTGTGCCTGCCTTTGCTGCCTTCTCCCCTGCTCCCACCTGGGTTACTTTCTGTTTTCTTTTATGTTCTTGTACATTTTTTTCCCTGCTCTGCCTCTCTTGTTCCTTCCACTCTGGTTCTCCAAGGGGACACCTGCCCCAGCACGGCCAGGCTCGCACAAGGTCACCACCAAGGCACAGGTGGGTTCCTCTCCTGCAGTTCATTTTCTTCCACTTCACCTTGATTCTCACAAGGTATCACTTTAAAGTTAAACACCCTGCCAGGTTTTTAATACCCCAGATCCAGCAGAAGTCAAGGAGTTCATGTTTGTCAGCTCTGTGGGGTGGGGAGGGAGGTTTACAGTCAGCTGGGAGGGAGCCAGCACTGCCATCCCTTCCTGCTGAGCTGGCAAAGAGGCCTTGCCATGGGACAGCTGAAATGGTTATGGCCTCTTGTGTCCTTTCCTTCAGGAGGACTCGGGGGATAGTGAGATTGACCTGGATGAAGATGATGATGAGGAGGAGGATGATCTGGAAGATGACAGCATGGAAATCTCCCCAAGCAAATCCAGCCACCGAGCAAGGAAGCCAGAGCCACTGGAGCAAAGTGATAATGACTTCTGACTCTTCAGGAGCAGGAGGCATCTTGAAACAGGAACTTTGGAGAGAATGCAGGCCAGGAGCAAATATCCTGCCATCTGAAAAGTGTGTCAGCATGAATTTAGGAGTTGGTGAATAATGGTCATTAAACTTAAAAATTAAACTCGGATTGCCAGGCTTGTGACTCTCAAAGCATGAGCAGTTTATCCATAATGACAATCACAGTAATGTGATGTTATTTCCATAATTGCACTAAACTGGCTCTCGTGCACTGCAGTGCCAGAAGTCTCACTCCAGTGAGCACTGTGTACCTGATTTCCCTGCATTTTATTATGTCCAAACAGGTTTTTTTTGCTTAATAAAACTGGATTAAAAGCTACTCTGGGAATGCATTTCAATTGATTTTAAATCTGGCTTAAATCTATTTATCCTAAACATATCCTTTACCTAATCAAGGGCTTGTCTCTGCTAAGAGCAGCTCCAATTAGACTGAAGGACTGAAAAACTGGGAAACAAGTGAAGGGCTCCTCAAATACCACCAAGGGTATTTCAGCTGTGTCAGTGGGAATTGTCTCAAACTTCAGTGGGCTGAGCTTGAGTGCCCTGAGAGCAGCCTGAGAGATGTGCTGTAACCAAATCCATATTAAATTAACCCTTTCATTATACTGGGGCTACTGGGGTAGGCTCAGATTTTAGGCATTCAGATGGGCCAAAATCTGGGCTTTTGTTCAGTACATAGTGCTGATGCCATCAGTGAAGGTGTGTTCAGATTTGTCTGGGGGCTGTCTCTTCTCTTTTAGCTCTGCTTTAGCATCACAGTTTGTCTTCAGAGGAGCAGGAATCAGTGCTTGATGAGAAGAGTTCATTGGGGTGTGTGTTCATCAGGGCAGTCAGAGCCCTGGCTGTGCTCCTGCCCTTCACCTTTTTACACCAGCAGGTGCTTTGCTTTCAACCCCCTCTGAAGTCTGCACTTGGGTCCAGTCTCTCCATTAATGAAGGAAGGAGTGCACAGAAGTTACTTGAAAAACTGAGAGGTTTTTCATCTCTGACCCCAAGGGTGGAACTGTCACACCCAAAGAAGTGCCCCACCAGCAGAGCCCAGAGCTTGAAATGTCATGTCAAGCTGGGAGAAAAGCTGACAGGTAAATACAGCCTGTTTTTGGGTGGTAATGGGGTGTGTGTGGGTGCAGTGATGTGCTGAGCTGACTGGCTGACAGTTTGGATGCTTCCTTGTACCTCTTAGTTGGCTTTTTGCAGCTTATTTCAAAGAAGGCAGATACAGAAGATGGCAAACACCTACTTCAGAGCCACTAGGGTGGTCCTGGGACAGCCAGGGTGAAGGTGTATGTGCTTAACACATCCCTCTCCCAAAGAGTGGGAAGGTGCTGATTTTAGGACCCATTCCCACAATGTTTTCCCATGTTATGCAGGGAATCTACTCTGGTCCCCCATGTGTGCTGTTCAGCTTGGAAAAGAAAAGGTTCCAGGGAGACCTGAGAGCCCCTTCCAGTGCCTGAAGAAGCTCCAAGAGAGCTGGAGAGGACTTGGAACAAGGGATGAAGGGACAGGACAAGGGGGAATGGCTTCCCACTGCCAGAGAGAAGGGCTAGATGGGATATTGGAAAGAAATTCTTGGCTGTGAGGGTGGTGAGGCCCTGGCACAGGCTGCCCAGAGAAGCTGTGGCTGCCCCATCCCTGGAAGTGTCCAAGGCCGCCTTGGATGGGGCTTGGAGCAGCCTGGGCTAGTGGAAGGTGTCCCTGCCCATGGCAGGGGGTGGAATGAGATGGGCTTTAACCTTCCAACCCAAAACATTCTGGGATTCTGTGATGTATCTGACCCATGGGAATGACATCCTACGAGACAGGGCCCAGTCTCCCAGTCTGGGCTGCAGTTTTAGAGTTACAGTTTTCTGTGTTTATTTCCTGTATTATAGGCCCGAGTAAAAAAGAGACTTCACACCTTGTGTGCACGGAGCCAGAGCCTCTCTTCAGGCAGCACTGCCACCTAGCCTTCCAGCATGGCCAGCCAGGTTTAGGGAGGCCACAGTTTGTGTTGCAGCTCCTTGTGCCAGGCCAGAACAGCAGCACCATCAGCAGCCACCCGGGTGCCAGTGAACTGAGCTTCCAGCTCAGGATCTGCAGCCGGGGCAGTGGAGCACAGCTCACCCCCTGTGTCGTGCAATGCAAGGGGAAGGCTGCACAAAGCATCTTCTCATCTGGGAACCAGTTTATTTCCAAGTATGTACATACCCACAGCTCAGCCCAGCGTTCCTGGGGTCAGCCCCGAGGTCCCTGCAGCAGTCACTGCCCCGAGTGTGGCAGCATCTCAGAGTGGGCTCTGGCTGGGCTGGAGTGGGGAGGGGGGCAGTGGCTGGAGGGGGCTCTGGGAGGTTGCATAGTTTGGCTACTGGTTCACCTGCAAACCTGGCACCTTCTGGAGAGCCACTGGGTCTGTGCCATGCACACTAAGGCATCACCTGGCACCTCTGCTTTCAGCAGCCTGCCCGAAAGGTGACCTGCTGGGGCAGACCTTGCCTACAGCTGGGACATGGGGAGGACACATCCCAAGGCCACAGAACTTGTCACTGATGGCAACAGCAGGAGACCCAAGAACTGCAGCCTGAGCTGGAGGGGCAGGGAGCTAAGGCAGTCCTGGTGTAGCACCCAGACACTGTGCTGGAGACAGCTCATCCTGCAGTGCTGGTCCTCTCACATTTACCCTCCTACTCCTCCCATTTTCCTGAGGACTTTTAATTTCCAAAGGTCTTTCTAGATGGTTCTGTTCCTATGCCTTGAGTTGCCTGTCTCTTCACTAGAGAACAGCTCTACCAAACCCTTCAGGCATGTCTGATCAGCACCAACCTGTTACTGAGGGCACAGCAACAGCCCAGGATCCTGCTGTGAATGCCTGGATCCACAGCACTGCCCTTGTCCAAGCAAGGAATCAGCAAACCTCCTGTGTCCATATGGGATTTCAAGGGGAGCCTGCAGGACCACGCTGTATTTACCCAGGTGAGAAGGGGCTGCTGTGAACCCTGTCTGCTTTTCACCCAGTTCTTCTGGGATCCTTGCCAGAAGCAGAAGACAGAGAAGAGCTGGCACTGGGAGCAGAGCCCTGGAGCCCCATCAGGGGTATTGCAACATTTGCCCACAGTGACTTGGGCTGGGACAGAGCAGAGGTCCAGGATGCACCTTGTCTGAGTCAGGGTCCAAGCACAGCACTGTAACCCTGTGGAGATCACAGGAGGGGTTGCTGCTGCCTGAGGATAAATCACCCACGAAACCAAGGTCTGGCATGTGGGGTCTGCCCCCTCCTCCCTCCTTTTTGTGTTTTGCTCATTCCTTGAAGCTCCCCCAGAGCCTGGATGAACAGGGACACAGGCACACATCCCTCAGCTTTCAACACCAGCAAGTCTCGACCCTCCTGCACTGCTGATCTGGACACCCTCGGTCCTCCTGGGCCACGCCAGGGAGCTCAGGAGCTCTCCTTGCCCCAGCTCTCTTCCCTGAGATGGGGACCAAGCAGCTGCCTGTGTGGTCACACTGGCCACACTCCTCACTGCAGCCAGGCACCCTCACACGTCCACGACGCAGTTGGGAGCGTTTGTCCGGATGGTGTCGGAGATCATCTTGGCTCCCGACTGGCCGATCCGATTCCCCTGCAGGCTGGGAGCAAAGGCAAGAGGAGCTCAGGCTTGGATCAAGCAGCATCCTTGGTGGGCACGAGAGATGCTCCCCAGCTTTGCACCAGCATCACCTGCACCCTCCCCACCCCATCCAGAAGCTCTTCTGGGACTCCACTTCCAGGAGACTCTGAGTTTGAGAGCCTGAAGGCTGGGGCCAAGGTGAGGAGCTGGAGGAAAGCCCTGGGGAGCTGGAGGGGCTGAGCCACTTCTCCCTTGTGATATTTTGGGGAGTGTGTGGCTTTTGAGGTGGTTCTTTGCCACAGAGGCATCCCTGAAGAGGAGCAGTGTGGGTATTGTGGCTCTCGTGCCTGGAGGAGCATGGGATGCCCCTGCCCTGTTGGGGAGGTCCCTGTGGGACAGCCAGGAATGGGCAGTGCCGGGTGGAGAAAGTCCTGGATGGTTCCCATGGCCTCCCCCATCTCTGCTTTCACCATCCAGTGCAGCAGCCACTTACTTCACGTAGGTGAGGCCGTGGTTGCCCTTCAGGGCGGTGGCGATGCAAATGGCTCCGTCCATGCCCAGGGAGTTTTCCTGCAGGCTGAGGAAGGCAGGAGGGTCAGAAAGCACCAGCCAGGGAGAAGTGGCCACCAGGAGGGAATGCGTGGCTCGGACATTGTGAAAAACCACCCCCTCAGGGGTTTGCCCCACTGAGAACCATTGGCCTGGCCATTCCCTCGCTGCTCCCTCCAGGAAGGTCTGGAAAGGCTCCTCCTGGCTCACCCCAGGGAGAGGGATACTCACTTGAGGCGGCGGAGGCTGCTGTTCACCCTGAGGGCGTTGGCCATGGCCTTGGCCCCTGCCACGCCGATGGAGTTCCCCCGCAAGCTGAGGAGAAAGGCAGGAGGTGAGGAAGGACAGCCTGGGATGACCCCAGGTGGGAGGAGGTGGGAGAGGTGGTCCCACACCAGCGAGCCAAGGGACGAGCAAGCCAAGTCTGGACAGGATGCAAGGGTGGAAGTGGTGCTGAGGTAAGGACCAGGATCTCAGACACCCCGGGGATCAGTGTCACAGCTGTGGGGACTGATGGCCCCCCTGAGCACTTACTCCAGGATCTGCAGGCTCTTGTTGACCATCAAAGCTTCTGCCAGGGCTTGGGCACCAGCCGTCCCAACCGAAGCCATTTGCAGGCTGCAAGGGAACAGGGACCCTTCAGCACACCTTGTGAGGTGGACGTGGTGTGCTAATTACACAAGCTAATTAGGCTGCAGCTCCAGGGCCCCGCCACAGCCTGGATACTCACTGGAGATCTGCCAGGGTCGTGTTGACCTTCAGTGCATCAGAGAGGGCAGCCATTCCCTCGTCTCCAATGGCATTTTCCTGCAAGCTGAGACACCCAAGTGCTGCCTCTGCCCGTGGCCTCTGCACCCAGGAGCAGGGAGAGGGACAGCGAGCACAGGGCACAGTGTGCCCACCATTCCCAAATGGCCTGGGGGACCCCAGACCACCAGGCACTCGGAGCAGACCCAGACAGGCACAAACAGTGGTGGCACAGAAGCCTTCCAGTACCTAAAGGGGCTCTAAGAGACTTTTGACAAGGACATGGAGTGCCAGAACAAGGGGGAACAGCTTCCCACATCCAGAGGGCAGGGTTAGATGGGATTTTAGGAAGAAATTCCTCCCTGTGAGGGTGGGGAGGCCCTGGCACAGGTTGCCCAGAGAAGCTGTGGCTGCCCCATCCCTGGAAGTGTCCAAG